TAAATATAGAGCTTCAAAAAGATTGAAGGTTTGATGAAACCTTATGATGCTTGCCTTTCTTTTTCTACTCTACTTTTGAAGGTTTGTTTTGACAATTTAAATTCAAACAATAATATTGAGGTCATTTTAAAAAAAGTGAAATGAGGAATTTAGGAAAAAGATATTTAATATGGTGAGTTCTCATATCAGGTTTATTATTTTAAAATTGCTAGTGTACTTAATATTGTGCAACTACATTAGAGAGAGAGCTGATAATTTTTGCCTGAGAATCTATCTGGGCAGAGACACAGGCAGAGGAGCATTTAAACACTGGCAAAGCAAAATGTACTCTTCAAACACATTAGAGGTGAACACTGTTATTTTTGACCTTCTGTAGTGCAGAATCACCATCAAAGCTGTTGTCTAGTATTTATCAAATGGTCAAGGTGAGGTGCTGAGGATCAACCCAGTGCCTCACGCATGCAAGGCAAGAGCTTTACCACTAAGCTATAACCCCAGCCCCCAATTGTGCTTTTGAAAAGGCATATCTAGCTTCATGCTACCACCTTGGTTATACTGTTCTGGCCCTTGCTGGCTGACAAACAAAGAAAAGTGGAGGTTTACTTACCCTCACCCTAATACTATTATATTCTATGGTAGTTTCATTAGAAAATGAAATAAAGCTATGTTCACCTCTGATTCCATTTAAAAAGTAAAAACTGAGCACCAGTGGTGACCCCAGATCAGCCTGGGAAAGACTCCGAGGAGTTCTACAATTGTGAGCCGAGTGCACATTCCTCTCTTTGGAAGGTGTCTCCTTCCTTTTTGGTGTGTTAAGGGGAAAAAAACCCAAATCAATTTTCTAAGAATACATTTTTGTTGAAGCTGGTGATTCAGAGTTTGAGATATTTTTAGTAGTTTATAACACAATCCTTCACTAATATATATCAGACTGTATTTTCTTATAAAGCTAAAATGTTTTAATATAGTTGGCTAAGAAAGGATTACTGAAGAAAAAAATCAACCTAAAAGTATATTAAACCAAATTTTAATATGATCTTTGCTTGCTGCAACATATATATTCATATATTTAAACCAATATCACCTACGGTACAATTCTAAAAACTCTGTGTACCCTAGGTACATCTATGTATAATTACAAGAAAGTAATTATACTACTGCTACATATGCTTAGAAGTTTTGGAATAAGCAGATAAGTAAATGACATTATTTCCAATAGTTATAGTTTTACAATAACAAGTAAGCTTTAAATAAATTCTTCAACTCCTAACTAGAAGGAACTCTTAAAATTTTGAATATTTCTTCTTTTTACTAACTAAGTGGATCCTTAATTGACCTCAAGGAGCCCTTCCATAAGATTACTGTAAATGTGAGGAGGTTTTGATATATATTTGAGTAGTGATTGAAAAGTTCAATAAAGCAATGTTCTTTAAATGGGATTGTAGTAAACAGACAGTTTACAGGCTTGAGCATGCTTTTAGATTAACAGGCAGTTAGTTACAGCAAGCACCTCAAGACACACTTAAGTGATCCATTTCATAAGCACCTCCCGCTGTCTTTTCTAGGATTTGGAATCCTCTGTTATGGATGGAGAGTTTGTTGGTGTTCTTCTAATGCTTTTTAGGGATTATTGCTCCTTTACTGTTGGCTGTTTTGAATTTCAAGACAGGATTAAAGGGAGTTATGAGAATTCAGGTCTTTAATTTCCACGTACTCTATTTCTCAGTGTTATATTAATGAGTAATTGCTAGTAAATAAAAAACTGTATGAATTTTGAAGTGACTTATGATGATCTGGATTAGATCCTGACTGTATTTTTTTAGCAATGATGGCTGAGGCTGGCCTGGGACTTGTGATCCTCCTGCCTCAGCCTCCGCAGTTGCTGGGATTATAGGCCTGTACCACCATGCCTAGCAAGAGGTGCTTTTTTCTGTTCTTTCATTTTTTTTAAGCCTATCTGTAGCATCTGGCATAAAACTTACCACAGAGTAGAACTCTGAAAAACAATTGAAGGTATGAGCAAAAACATATTTTAAATTTGTAATTAAGATTAGAAAAAGGGGGCATAACTTTATTTCAGTTACATATATCTATTAAATATATAGAAAATAGTGCCATGCTTTGAACATGTTCTTAATATTGAGAACAAAAGAATTTCCTTTTTAAGTAGAAATGGATAGTGTGCTGAATGTGAAAGTCACTTCTGAGTGTGCAGAATATGAGGCAGAATAACTTCTCAGGTTGTCCTTGGATAGTACTTTTGCTAGATTTTTGAAGGGCATTGCCTTGATTTTAGAATTTTTGGGTCATGGGAATTGTGACTACAAATCTGAAGTGTTGATATAAAAAGATAAAGGGACTTTGATTTCTGAATTAAGTATGTTGGGAAAATATACTCTAAACAGAATAATAAAATAAAAATTTACTCATCCAAAAATAAAAAAGAAGCAGGGGTGTTTTATATGCTTATCAAGTATGAACATATAACCAGCCTTGGCTAATCAGTTGTGCCTCCCTATCAGTAGTGGTTAGTTTGGGAATAGATATGTCAGCCAAACTCAGTAATCACAGCAAATTCAGTACTGCAGCTTTAAGAGTTGGAAGGAGTTGTGCCCTTTGCACAGGGTCTGCTGAACCACAAGCTTGGAGCTGCTGGCTACCATTTTGCTGTTTTGCCCCCTGAAGGGAAGAACCTGCCTGAGAACTGAGCCAGAGGAGAGAAATGCACAACTGAAAGACAGGAGTGGTCAGCTGGGTTACATTAGGGAGCCTCTGGATCCAGCTTTTTTTTTTTTACTGTATTTTTTTAGCAAAGCCCAAAGCGAGCCTGTCCTCTGAGTATGACCCCAAAAAACCCCTTTTTGCTTTTAAGTTAGTTTAAGGTTGGTTTTACTGTCACAGGTGATGAGAAAGTTTTCTTGAGTACCTGAATCATGAATTCAAAAGGCCTTTCTGGGAAGGCTTGGCTTTTCCTACTTGTGCTCCTGCAGGGCTTTCTCTGAAGTGTGAGCCTCCCTCCCATTTTATGTTCCTCATTCATAGAAAAATCAAGACCAACTGAGCTTTTGCCTAACTGCTTCTTTGGTCAGTTGGTTCTAGCAGAGTCCTGCTAGGCATCTCATACAAAACCTCTTCACAGACCCTGGCCTTCACCTGGGCTCTTCCCTGTCATCCTGGTAAATAGGCCTATCTCATAGCTAATGTATTTTTGCTGCAGTCTTAATGTATCTTCTGGTTCTGTCTCAACTGTTTTATTTTCTGTCCCAGATTTCCAGGTTACTTTAACATGAAAAAGCTTAGGTTTATTCAATCTTTCTATGCCTCAGTTTGAAATCAACAAATAAAAGACCTGAATAGCTGATAATAATAATGCTCTATGGTTATATTAGATTGTTTTATGTTTATAATATCGTTTAATCATCCCTGTAATTATTAAGAAATTGTAAATCTGTAATGTTGTGTTTCTGTGTTTACAAACAGGAGAAACATATATTTAAATATTTTATTTGCTATTATTTGGGGAAGTGGTTATTTGGGATTGAATCCAAGGGCACTTTGTCACTGAGCTACATCCCGGCTTTTTTTTTTTTTTTCTTTTCAGTTTTGAGACAGGATCTCACTTAATTGCTTAGGGCCTCACCAGGTCGCTGAGGTTGGCCTTGAACTTGTGATTCTCCTGTCTCAGCCTCCTGAGTTGCTGGGATTTTAGGCATGTCCCCAATGCCCCCTATTTTAATATTTTCTAAAGAACATGGATATTTAGTTAGGCATTGGAAATTATAATGATTAGTATAAATACGTAGACCAAAATAAAAATCTTGAGATTCCCTCAAAGTCATTTTAAACATTATATAAAATCAACTTAATGGACATTAGAAATGGAACATAGGGTGTCTAAATAGAATCACCACAATGACTCCCTGATTTTATCAATGGTGTTGGTCTCACTTCTTTTACAAGTTAGATCTTTAAATATTTTTGCATTCAGCAGTTGTGGGAGTAGGGGGAAGGATAAAGCATACTTAATTATTTAAAAACAAACTCAGAGAAAAAACATCTCTTATTAATTTTCAAAATTGAGAAGGTTGCCAGATGTCCATGAAGCTCTGCCACTGCAGAAGGAATTACACAGGTTGCCAAGTGTCAGCAACAGGAAATTGCTACTCACAGACTGAGCAATAAGCTGGGCTAAGGATAAGCAACCTGGCCTGGAAGGACCCTGGATGAAAAGGTTCAGTCTTAAAAGGCCATCTAGAAGCAGAAGCAAGTCTAGCCTGGCATGGGCAACCTTCTCTGAGGTGTACTTGGAAGACACCTGGTTCTTAAATCATTTTCCTCATTTGCTATCACTCCTGAAATTCCACTCTGTCACCCTTTGCTTTGGACTCTCAAGCAGACCCCTTTGGAACAGCATCATTATTTTTGAAGATTAGACATTTGGCTAAGAATGACACTTTATAGGGGTAGGACAGAAGCTAGATATCCTGTAAGTAGGGAAACAAGAAGCAGAACCCTGAGTGAGGAAAGGTGGTTACTTTGGCAACTAGACATGAATCTGCTCCACAATCTGCTTAGATTGACTTCAGGGAACAGCCAAAGTTTTGCCATTAACATTTTCCCTTTTTACAGTTTTTTTTTTTTTTTGAGTGAAGGGGCAGGGGGTTATTACTTTCTAAATTTTCTATGCTTACTTTAAGCTACTTAGAAACTGGCATCTGCTGTTAGCAAATATATATAAACTCCCCTCCCCCATTCACACATTTTTCCAAAATCAGATTTAATAGACTTATTCTAGAGCTGTGCATGAATTACTTCAGGCCTCAACCTGTTTATTTAAGGCTCATGGTACATAAGGATAGAGACTGACTTGTCTATTGAGCATGGTTAGAAAAGAATCCCCCCCTCGCCCCCCCACCAATGTCAAAAGATCAGTGATCACATTATTTTTTAAATACTGAAGATTTAAACACACACACACACACACACACACACACACTTACCCCATTTGGATTGTTGACCCTAGAAATGAGGGTATGCAATAATCAGCTGCTGCCAGCGTGTATGGTGGTCGAGCAGCAGAATCGTCCCAGTAAATGTCCTTCTTCATCTTGGGTAAGCTCATATGCATTTCATCCACAGCTAAAAGAGAGACCTAAAATCATTGTCATATTGTTAGGCTAAATCAGATGTGAATTATATAAAAAAAGAGAAGAATTTTCAGTAGGGGGACTGGAGTTTGAGAGCAACAGGACATAGTCCAAATGAATGGATGCACAGATGCCTACAGCATATATTTGCTGCAACCTGGGCTGCTGCAGAGTTGCACCTGTTGTTCACTACTGGAGAACACTGGTCAGTGGTATAAGTGAGACTGTCAAGCTGCCCACCCTCTGTCCTTATGCCCCAGGATGGAGCTGCATCTCATCTGGAGGGAGGCAAAGCACCTTTTCCTTTTTTGTTCACAGTTCTGGTATTATCTTAGTGCCTGCCCTGTCAGCAACCACCTAACTCCAGGTAGTGCAGCAAGGTGGAGAGCCTCAGTATTCATTCTGCTAACCCCATAAACACCTTTTTACTTGACATCACTTCTTACAATCCCTGGTTTCTTGTTTATTTAGAAAAGCACACCAGCAAGCCTATGCTGTTTGAAGCTATAATCATCTTTCCCCTTGGCTTTGACTGAGTGATACATAAATAAATTACTCTCTCAGAACCAATTTTTGACAGAGTGATTCAGGCATTGCACTTCTTACCCTAATAGACTGACAATGTAATCTCTGTGAAACGTTTGAACCTGTTTAAAAGCCAAGTTAGGCTTGAAACAAATGGACAAAGTGAAGGAGAGTTTTAGTCTGAGGAGAGTTTTGCCTAACATTGTCCTCATGCTGGTTCTTCATGGAAAACTCACTGAGAAGAGGGTCCATTTTATGCATGTCAGGCAGATTTGAGACACAGGCCTGTGTGGCCCAGGCTCCCAGTGTCCAGCTGCTGGACAACTGACTGTTGAGGTCTGTGAGCTGTGAGTTTGGAAAGTCACATCAGATTGTATCTGGATGCTATTTTATGTCACTGTTAATATCTTTGGGTGCCAATTAAAACAGATAAAAAAATGAATTAAAATACTGCTTTGTTCTAGATGGAAGAGGCTGGTTAAAACTGATAGAGAAACTTATAGAGAAAATTGATTTGAAATTCTACCTAAATTTCACTGGAACTGAGATCCAGGACCTGTGAGGCTCCAAAAGGATAATATACTGCATAGTCAAACTTTTTAATTTGTGACTAATGCTCTGAAGTCCAGGGGCCTGCATCCAGAATCTGTTTAAATGAGAAACATCACAGGTGATTTATTGTTAAGGTTTATAAAGGAAAGAAAAATTCTTCTAACCTGCAAATTTCTATCAATGCACCAGTTAGTTTCAAAATCATCATCATCTTCTCCAAAAGGGTTGATAAGCTGCTCAGCCACCTGCAGTTGGAAACACAGAACAAATCTATCATGATACTTGTGAAGACTAAGAACAGAGATTGAAGTTGATTCCTATTTTATTCTCGCCTTCTTTTGTCACTTTCATAATATGAAGCCTAGAGGGGAGTGGATTGTTTTCCAGACAGATACTTATTAGAATATGAGACTTGATTCTCTAGTCATAAATGATGCTCCTTTGTGGGCATGATCTCCAAGTGGATCTGTCTATTCAACTGGTGACAGTGTAGGCCCTATCACAGAGAAGCTTTGTGCTGTTTGGGCGCTCACTCAAACCAGTGCATATTGAAGAGTCATCAACATGTGAGTGGCATATAGCTTGTGCTTTCAAGGAATTTATAAGGGCTAGGATGATAAGACAAAGTTAAACAGCAGAGGAAGACTTAAGTCATAGTTAAAGAAAGTGCAAGGTGGTTTCACAGTTATTAGACATAACCGCTAAGTGAAAGAGCAGGCTAGTCAGTCATCAAGTTGGAATTTGAGGCTTACTTAGCTTTACCCTAGATTGGCTCTTGTCTATCTAGTAAGCTAGATTTCCTGTTGAAAAAACTTTAGGTGGTTTCTTATCACATTTAAAAATATTTGACAGATATTAAATATTCTTATCATATTCCTGAACTGAATAGCTTTTTTTTTTTTTTTTTTTAAGATGGGGTCTTGCTATGTTGCCTAGGCTAGTCTGAAAACTCCTGTGCTCAAGGGATCCTCCCATCTCAGCTTCCTGAGTGCTGGGACTATAGATGTGTGTTACCTTGCCTAGCTTCTATAGCCTCTTGATGAGAGGTTTTAAATGTCTAAAATGACTTGCTTGTCATTCACTTTTTTGAATAATTTACTTTGATTTGTGTGTGTGTGTGTGTTTTTATTTTTTTTTATTTATTTTTTAGTTCTCAGCGGACACAACATCTTTCTTTGTATGTGGTGCTGAGGATCGAACCCGGGCCGCACGCATGCCAGGCGAGCGCGCTACCGCTTGAGCCACATCCCCAGCCTGTGTGTGTGTTTTTACATTGAATCCTCTACATAGGAAAAACTTACAAGTATATAAAATATATTGTTTGACTAGTTATATACTTGTAATATCACCATATACTTAGAAGTATATAAAATTTTATTTACCTATTCCTTATTATATACTTAAAATATTACATACTTATACTTATTATGTACTTATAAACATATAAAATATATCATTTGATTAGTATCTAGATTTTTAGATTCTGAGACCATTGGTAGGAGCTTTACTTACTTAAGTTTTTAGTATTTAAGTCAAATCATTTACAGCAGTTATTTTCAACCTTAGCTATGCACTAAAATCACCTGGGGAGCTCTTAAAAAATAAACAATAATGCCTGAGTCCCTCCTCTCAATATTCTGACTTAACCAGTGTGATGCTGGGCCCAGGAATTGGTACTATGTAAAGCTCCTAGGAGATTTTAAAGCATAGGCAGGTTGAGATCCACTTATATAAAGAAGTGTATCTCCCTTGTTCTAAGGGACAGTCCTGGGCAGGGCAGTGTCCTGTGTCAGTAATTCTCTCAATGACAGCTGTGGTCAGAGTCCTTCATTGTGAGTTGTGAGGGTTGCCTGGGTTTTTTCTCAAATTAAATGAGTCACTGCTTATTCTTGAAAATATTTTTGTTATATATAAAATTTCAGTTTTATGGTGTTAGTCCTGTGTATATTATTATAATCTACAGTTATTAAAATGATACCTATGTTTGTGAATTTACAATCTCACAAAAATATTAGAGGCTCCATTTTCAGCAAGTAACTGAGTAATATACTGTCTAGAAGGTCCAGATGGTTTTCTACATTTTGGAAAGATTTATAAATATCTGAATTGTCAGGCTAGAACAGCTCTTTAGAAACTGAAATGTAACTCACTGGATTGGGAAAACTCACTCTGTTAAGTTTGCCTGTCTCTTAGCAGAGCTATGAATATACCTTTTCATATTTTTAAAAAATATTTTTAGGCAAAGGATGTTAATATTTTAGAAAGTGCATCAGAAGAAAGGAACCATTAATGCTTTATGGGCCAGCTGAACACCTTACATGGACATAAAGCAAATGTCTTCTTTGATATAAGGAGAGCAACTAAGAACAAAGTAGGGAGGAAGAGCATGAGAAGAAGATTACCATTAAACAGGGACGAGAGGTGGGAGGGAAAGGGAGAGAGAAGGGAAATTGCATGGAAATAGAAGGAGACCCTCATCGTTAGACAAAATTACATATAAGAGGAAATGAGGGAAAAGGGGAAAAAAGGGAGAGAAATGAATTACAGTAGATGGGGTAGAGAGAGAAGATGGGAGGGGAGGGAAGGGGAGTGGGGATAGTAGAGGATAGGAAAGGCAGCAGAATACAACATACACTAGTATGGCAGTATGTAAAAACGTGGATGTATAACCGATGTGATTCTGCAATCTGTACATGGGGTAAAAATGGGAGTTCATAACCCACTTGAATCAAATGTATGAAATATGATATGTCAAGAGCTATGTAATGGTGTGAAATATGATATATCAAGAACTATGTAATGTTTTGAACAACCAACAATAAAAAATTAAAAAAAAAAGAGCTATGTAATGTTTTGAACAACTAATAAAAAAATAAAAAAAAAAGAAGCTCAGCAAAACTCAGGGAAAGAACAACAACAACAACAAACAAAAAACACAAGAATGATTTACCTTTGGGCCACCTGTGTGAATTTTATGTTGATAAAGACAAAGTCTACTTTTTTCTTTAATGGGAAATGAGAGCCATTAACTCTCCTTCTCTTTCTTACTCGTGAGTAAAAATAATTAACAATCACTGTCATTTGGTTAAAAATATTTTTGCCATTTGTAAAGGACAGCCTTTAGTCCTTGGAGTATAATTTGAAATGCCAACATATTTATTTTTCCTGGGTAAAAGTCAAACTGGTGAAAAGACTTCTGCAGGGAAAAATCTGCTACAATCTGAAGGCATGACAATGTGGCTATTTGGAAGGCCAGACATTTGAAAATTCTATTTCATGAGTCATCTTTAAACTGTTGTTAGATTTCAGTTGACTTAATGATGCCATTATCTTTGACTTTCTTCCTATCACATACTTCCCATTTGGACATTCACCAAAGTGATGGAAGAATCAGGCCTCTGGTCCTTACACACATGTACCTGGGGAGGGTTGAGAGGAGCAGGGATAGTGGTGGAGGTGGTGAAACCAATAAAATTCTTCACTGATAATCAGACAAGCTGTTTTTACTGCTCTAACCTGTTTTTAAACTCCTGCAAACTCAATGTCATCATTAATCCTGGTGTTTCTGATTTTGATTCTGATGAGTTCTGAGTCTAAGTTCTGGTTTTGAAAATTGGATGCACTTAATGGTGTGGAACAGCTAGTAGGATTTCAAGCAATAATTTACAGAGTTGAGCCGAACTAAAACACTACTACACAATTAATGCTTAAATCTGATTGATATCCAAAGCTGCTTCTTTGCCCTTGCTTACTCTTCCTAGTTGCTTATTGTGGTATAAAAATGCAGGCACAGTTATTACTTTAATTACATTATTGTAATCCTAATGGGAACAAATAGACACTTAAAAAATCAATAGCTATGAAAAAAGTGTTCTTCTAATCTCTTTACATAACAAACTGTTTCAGACTGCTGCAACACAGTTGAACTACATCTCTGTCATTTTAATCCTTGATGGAAAAGTGATCTCATATCTGAGCTGTTACATGTTAAATCTGTCTTTGATTCACTGATTAATAATTTTCTAAAGACTCATTATAGGAGCAGTGTGGAGTTTGGAACGTGATAGATTAAGAGTGGATCTTAGCCAGCACTTGTTGTTGTTTGACTTCATAATGGCTGCCAATCTAACTGGAGTGAGATGGTATCTTAGGGTGGTTTTGATTTGCATTTCTCTGACTGCTAGAGATGGTGAGCATTTTTTCATGTACTTGTTGATTGATTGTATGTCCTCCTCTGAGAAGTGTCTGTTCAGGTCCTTGGCCCATTTGTTGATTGGGTTGTTTGTTCTCTTATTGTCTAATTTTTTGAGTTCTTTGTATACTCTGGATATTAGGGCTCTATCTGAAGTGTGAGGAGTAAAGATTTGTTCCCAGGACGTAGGCTCTCTATTTACCTCTCTTATTGTATCTTTTGCTGAGAAAAAACTTTTTAGTTTGAGTAAGTCCCACTTGTTGATTCTAGTTATTAACTTTTGTGCTATGGGTGTCCTATTGAGGAATTTGGAGCCCGACCCCACAGTATGTAGATCGTAGCCAACTTTTTCTTCTATCAGACGGCGTGTCTCTGATTTGATATCAAGCGGAAAAGGGTACACTTGTACATTGCTGGTGGGACTGCAAATTGGTGCAGCCAATTTGGAAAGCAGTATGGAGATTTCTTGGAAAGCTGGGAATGGAGCCACCATTTGACCCAGCTATTCCCCTTCTCGGTCTATTCCCTAAAGACCTAAAAAGAGCATGCTACAGGGACACTGCTACATCGATGTTCATAGCAGCACAATTCACAATAGCTAGACTGTGGAACCAACCTAGATGCCCTTCAATGGATGAATGGATAAAAAAATGTGGCATTTATACACAATGGAGTATTACTCTGCATTAAAAAATGACAAAATCATAGAATTTACAGGGAAATGGATGGCATTAGAGCAGATTATGCTAAGTAAAGCTAGCCAATCCCTAAAAAACAAATGCCAAATGTCTTCTTTGATATAAGGAGAGTAACTAAGAACAGAGTAGGGTCGAAGAGCATGAGAAGAAGATTAACATTAAACAAGGATGAGAGGTGGGAGGGAAAGGGAGAGAGAAGGGAAAATGCATGAAAATGGAAGGAGACCCTCAGAGTTATACAAAAGTACATACAAGAGGAAGTGAGGGGAAGGGGAAAAATAATATAAGGGGGACAAACGAATGTCAGTAGAGGGAGCAGAGAGAGAAGAGGGGAGGGGAGGGGAGAGGAGGGGAGGGGAGGGGAGGGGGGATAGTAGAGGATAGGAAAGGCAGCAGAATACAACAGACACTAGTATGGCAATATGTAAATCAATGGATGTGTAACTGATGTGATTCTGCAATCTGTATATGGGGTAAAAATGGGAGCTCATAACCCACTTGAATCAAATTGTGAAATATGATATATCAAGAACTATGTAATGTTTTGAACAGCCAACAATAAAAAATTAAAAAAAAAAAAAAGAGTGGATCTTAGGGCACCAAAACTGATGGCTACCTTGAGCCATCCTGCATAGAAGAAGAATTGTAGGAGAGTAAAGATTGGAATGTAAAGATCTAAGTCATGCCCCGCGTAGCCTTTGGTGGGATCCAAAAACTGGCGTCCAATCAGGCATGCAAAGAAGAAGGTGTAGACAGCAAGAGTGACAACCTGGAATAGAGAGAAACTGGAGTGAGAGGACAGTGCTAGCTGCCCACAGGGAGCTAGAGTGCCAAGGTGGGCAAATAGAAAATATCACATGCAAAGTGTTTGATACCTGGGTGTAAACCAGTGGAATCCCAACCCAGTCATAACCGAATAAGAGGCTGCACCAAGAGCGGTATCGATTCATTTCCTAAGCCAGAAACAAAACATGATTTAATATGATGATGAGTATGGTAATAAACATCAACTGGGATTCATAACATGGGCACGTCTTTTCCAAATGGGTTTGTAAAGTGATGGGATTGCCTTTGTGGCTCATAAGTTGGCTACCAAGACTACTACAAAAAGAAAGTTCTGAAAATGACAAGCAACGAGAATCACTGAACAATGTGCAAAAAGGGTGAGAACATCTGGACATACATATTCTTTAAAATATTAAAATAAGACAGGACTTTATAGAAATATCCCTTATTCTATAGGATCCATAATTTCCAACCCATATATTAGGTGAAAGTGGTGATAAGAAAGCCATGGTTGATATTTAAATTGTAATTTCTAGTTAGCAAATTTCGAGGGTATTTTTTCCCCTTCTTATTTAAAAACATGCTTAATATAGATCTTAGAAAAGAGATGCAAATATATCCTAAATCTTCCCCTTGCTACAAATGGAGACTTTTGAATGCTCATATAAAAATCCATCTTTGTGTGGCATAGGAATTGGCATAGAAAGGACTGTGTTTCATTGATTTCTTTCCTCTATTGAACATACATTATTATCTAAGACTGGGATGAAGAGTTCACCTTAATTTGAGAGCTGTTTTTAAACTATGGACTCCTTTCAGCCTAATCCAAGCAGGAGACAGTTGTGGCACAAATGTATCCAGTTCTTATGTAAATTTGTTCTCAGATGAACTCAGGGCTCTTTTGTGTAGTGAAAATACTGCTTTTTCATGTGAATATTTGGAACACCTGAAAAGCTAACTTAAGCTTGGGATAGTCCAGTTTTGGGGAAATGGCTTAGGAGGTTTACTTTTCCTCCAGATTTTATCCTAGGGGTGGCAAATATGCTGTGTGGGCACCAAATCTTTCAGGTCTCTTGGCAGCCCTTGGTTAACGAATCAAGGAACACTTTTGGGATGGGAGTGTGGTTCAGTGATAAAGCATTTGCCTACATGTATGAGACCCTGGGTTTGATTCCCAACACTTCGGGGTGGGTGGGGGAGCACTTTTTACAGAACCTATTACAAAGGATTCTGTTGAAACACAGCTTCCAAACAGCCACTAAAAGAATCTGAATTCAACATGTATACTATCTCTGTCCTGTACACTGTAGCTTCTGATACTACCCCAGTGTTTCTAATTTCATGGAACCAGGATTAAACAAAGCAGATTCTTTCTGGTATGACTTGTTATATCTAGGTTCTTTAGGGGATCTAAATGGCATTTTTTTTAACTTATGGGTTTATGATGTACTTACAGTCATCAATGATTGAAGATCAACACTGTCTCTGATTCTACCTTCATCTCGGGCTTTAGTTGCAAGATTACCAAACCAGATGAATGGAACCCAGTATTTCAGATGAGGAGATTTGAGGTGGTCAAATATTTTCCTTTCATCTGCTGTCATAAAACCTTTATGCAAAATAACAATAGTGAGATTATACAAACTTAGCACTTATGCATCAACATATTCTGATATTCAGCAATGTTTGAAAATCACTGTCCTAATAAATGAAGTTTCTGTTTATTCAGTATTTGGAATAAACAGAGTTATAATTACAAAGACAATATTTACCAACAGAAGACAAGTTTAATATTACACTCAAGTTATTCAGATTACCTTAGGAACATTCTGCCAATGCCTGGAAATTAGTACTCTCTCTGGAGGTAAAAATGAAAATAAGCTTGGAAATTCTTTTCTTTCTTAGTGCAGCTCAAAGTTGTTACATGATCCAGATAATCTACTTTTTTTTTTTAAGACTTGCAGAGCATGATTAAATGTTATTACAAGAGGTTAACAGCTAAATTTGACTGTCTTGGCTTAATGCTTTCTTTTTTTTTTTTTTTTTTTTTTTTTTTGTGGTGCTGGGTTTTGAACCCAGGGCCTCATAAATACTAGGAAGTCACTCTACCAATAAGCTACACCCCAATTTTTTAAAAAAATTTCATTTTGAGAGGCAGGATCTTGCTAAGTTGTTTAGGCAGGTCTTGAACTTGTGATCCCCCTGCCTCAGCCTCCTGAGTAGCTGGGGTTAATAGGCATGCATACCACACCTGGCCTGGCTTTATGTTGAAAGACTTGCTGCAGCAATTCTTCCTTTAACTGGAAGCCTATTCTCAGATATTCTATATCAATTTTCTAACAGATATATTCTTAGGATTTATAGTTTAATTTTCAAAAATGACCCTGCTTGTATGTTGGTTGCAATCTCTGTAATTTGACCAAAGAATTACTTTGTCTCTGGCTATTTTTTATTCAGGAGTATGGATCAAATTGTGCAAGCAAGCCCTTTCTTGGCTTCTAAGCATTAGGCAAATATGCAGAGTGAGGGTTTATTTAGTGCAAACAATAAGGCAAGAGTTAAGCCCTTCTCTCAATGTAGGACATCGGTTGATTGGAAGGGGTCATGTAGAGAGAAGAAAGCTAATGGTTTTGTTTTTGGCCTAAATTCTTGATTACTAAGAAAAATAGATTGTGAATCAGATGTTAATGTATCGCTCAAGAGTATGCAGGAAGAATTTGGTCATTCCCTGAAGGGTCAAACATCTTATCTAAAGTAATTCCATCTTTGGAAATCAAATTGTTGGTCAATTGAAAAAAGTCTCTAGATTGTCAAATCAATTCAAAGAACATTTGTTATGAAATGTAATGATATTTTCATCAGCACTTGAAGTCAATTAAACCAGAGACCAATGCTTTTTTTCCCCCCAGAACAGGGCCATTATCCAAGGCTGTTTAATTGCAGTTATTGATGTGCTACAGTTTGGCAGCATGATCAGTTGGCTGGTCTCCCACCACCCTGTCTCCTTCACATGTCTGTCTCCATGCCATGCTTCCTCAGGCCCTATCCACAGCCCTGGCTGGCATCGCTATTTTATCCTGCTACTGCACATGCCTAGATTTCTCTTGGTAGCTCTTTTCTTTCTGACTAGCTCAGCTCTGCTCAGTGATTTTCATGTTGCCTATCCCCCCAAAATATTTCTAACCAGAGTAAAATATTTATATCTGTCAATGTAGGTGTATGTTTGCATTGACTTGCAACTTGTAGTTTTATGGAGCAGGATCTGCTTGCTACTTTAAGGCAAATTTTATTGCCCTCAAGGCAGAAGACTAATTAAATACATTGACAAACAACATTCCAGTCATCATAGATTTTGTCTGCTGTACACTTGGCCTATTTTTCCTTGGTTGAAGCTGAGACAGATATCTTTTGCTTTTACAGCAGAGGCTCTGTTAGCAGAAGAACTAAAAGCTCTGCACCTCAAGACTTGAAAGCAGAATGGGTTCTTTTTGAAAAAGAAAGCTGTGCATTCAGCATCTGAGCCCTTCTCAGAGGGATGACTTGTTCAGGAAGATTTCAACGTGCCTGGCTCGTTTTCATCTCTGTTTTCCGAATGTATGCAACAAAGCCACCACTTCAATTATAGATCTCCTTTAAATATAATGGGAGAACTTTTGAAATGCCTGTTGACTGGGAAAATCAAAGAGAGGCAAAATAAGATTGAGATGGATGGAATCACATTACGACAGCATCCTGCAGGGCAGTGTATCAAAAGTTTTCCACCATAACCCACAATTATGTGTTCTTCCATTCCAATCCATTCCATTCCATTCCATTCCATTCATTTTAGTGTTCCCATTCAATCCCAATAAAAATGTTGGTTACAAACCATTAAGGTGGCCACAGGGCAGAAACATTATGCAAAAGTCAATTGATTTTACTTAGGGAGAGAAGAGAAGATCACAGATTAAATGACACAGTTATACCAGAAACTCAAATGGGGCTAGGCTTCCAGCCAATGAATCTGACTGAAGTCAGGACTTTAACTCAACAACCACTTAACAACTGGGGGGCTTGCTTGGTTGTATATGTCTGTTAACCATGACATTCACTAACAATTAACCCAACAATGAATTACAGCTCACAGCACAGAGAAATATAGCTTGGAGAATATAGAGGAAGAAAATCAGTTTCTGGGGTAGCAGTGCTGAATGGACACCAAGAGACTCCTTTATTTTTTCTGATATGTGCAAAATATCTCTAGTCATCCCTGTACTTAAATTAGTATCCCATTTTGTAGTTTACTGCCTTCTACACAATACACACAAGAAATAGCATGCACAAAATCAGTGTTTTTAACTCCTCACCTGTGCATTTGGCCCAGAATTTCATTTGCCCTGAGGCAATTGCAGATGAAACTGGAAGAATTAATTGGTATGCCCTAGTGCAGTAGTTCCTAAACTTTGCTACATATTAGAATGGTATTGAATCCCAATGTGCTAGGGTGGGAGCCAGATATCTGTGATTCCAATGTGCAGCAGAGTATGGGAACAATTGTTCTAGTGCTGAGCATTTCAACATCCTGCAGTGCTGCTGGAACTTGTTTAAAATGTGCATTCCTAGATTCCTAAACCCCAGAGATCCAGATTCCTTAGGCTGTCTAGGAACATGCAATTTAAATAAGCACTCTTAATAATGTAATGATTATGGTCTGTGATCATACTTTCAGAAACACTAGGTGAATAGACTGTCACTCCTAAAAGAGAACTGGATGGGGAAAACTCTATACACTGACTAAGTGAGACTGTCTATTCATGGCATGAATTCCAGGAGGGCTGGTTCTGCCTTGAGCTTTCTCTCCTGTGGGGAGCAAGTGCACAGAGGTGAGTCAAGTTTCACTCACAGGATGACATTCTGTCTGTTCGGGCTCATCATGTGAGACTATAGAGGTAACTGACTCAGCCTCTAAAAGTTCAGCCAACAGGAAAAACTGGCACAGCTGTGAATTCCACTGTCCCCTTGATCATCTCTTTCATGGCACAGAGCAGTTGAACATTTTAGAGACCCAGAAGTCCTGGGGCTATGGAGTGGAAGGGGGCAGCAGAATGGAGACAATGACAAACCACAGAGCAGAAATGTTCTGCAAAATTCAATTGATTTTACTTAGAGAAAATCACAGATTAAATGATGCATCTATGCCAAAAAATCAAATGGGGCTAGGCTTACAGCCAATGCAGCTAAAGTCAGGACTTTAATTCAACAACCACTTGACAACTGGGTGGCTTGCTTAGTTGTATGTCTGTTAATCATGAGAGTCATTAAAAATTCCAGTGGAGTCTCATCATGTTCCCTCGAGTTATAAAATAGCTCAAAGAACTTCATGTTAAGATTTTAGGACTTTAAGAAAAGGAAAGATATCTTTTTTTTTCTCAAAGTTTACTGTCTTCTAAACACTCTTATAAGCTACCAAGCATAGGTGGAAATCATCCATTTTAGAGGCAATAAAGCAATGTAGAGATGTAAAGAGTAGAGTCAGGTGTGGTGGCACAGGCCTGTAATCCCAGCAACTCAGGAGGCTGAAGCAGGAGGATGGTAAATTTGAGACCAGTCCCAGAAACTTAGGAAATCTTGTCTAAAAAAAATTATAAAATAAAAAGGGCTGGGATATAAATCAGTGGTAAAGTGCCTCTGGGTTTAATTGCCATAAATAAATATATAAAAGAGGAGAAATACAGTGTACCTGTAAATATATTTGTAAAATGATTAATATTATTAGACAAGATTTATGGTGTTTTTATTGAACTTGTAGACAGGGACCACACCTGTTTATGCCTGTATTCCCAGTGCTCAGTATGGTGCCTGACATATAGTATACATTCAGTAAAGTTTTGTTGAATGAGCAAATGCATGATAGATTTAACATCAGTTTTGCTAATGTTTCTTTTAGGGGAATGTATACAATTTCCTATTACCCATCTTTGTGCTTGTGGTGAGTAATTCTGAAGATAATTATTTTCTTTTCCTTATGCCTGTGCAATACTAGATAAAATGTTTTGGTCTGATACATGCACTCAGCTAAGGTCATCACTTGAATTAGCAGAAGTCTGGAATTGTGCACTTGACTTGGAATGAGTGACATTTTCCAAGGCAGGTGATCGAAATAGTTAGAATTTTCCAGAACAGGTTTGTAAACAATAGACAAAATAACAGAGACTATCTTGTAGTCCCTCTGATAAATAATTGGTAACATATTAGTTCAGGGACTTTTCAGCATAATAGACATTATTTTGAATTCAGTTGTTACATTTCTTTTGTATAAGCAAAAATTTTAAAGTTTCATTTTTTCATCTGAGAAATTTAACCTGTAAAATTTCACCTATAGGTAAATCGTATTTTCCTGGCAGCATGTGTTGTGGCCTTTTTACTTGCCAGAATAAATATAATTTGACTGTCCAACTTAAAAGCAAGGAAAGTTTGGGGACTAACAGGTAAGTGGCTGGGTTCTCTAGCTCCAATCAAGGAACTGCCAGATGATCCAAAAGAAGCTGCTAATACTCATTCTCCTGGCCCTCTTATTTACTTCCTCCTGGCTAGCAGTGAGTCTATATAGGCAAGAACCTTTCCTGAAGTAAGAAGGAGAAGAGGTTGAAGGGAAACTTGGATTGCTTTAGGGTCCATTGTTTCTCAGAGTGTGATCAAGGGACCACCTATCTCAGTCCCAAGGAGTTTGTTAGAAATACCAATTCCTGGATTCCACTTGAGAATCTTTGGGGGTGGCACCTTAGGATGTACATGTTTAAAAATATTGATTTTAACAATATTGATTTTAACAATATGTAATGCACACCAAAGTTTGAGAACACATATTTTTCCTGATATGTGAGTTTATATAAGGGAGTCAACTGATGAGGATTTTTGTGCTCCCAGCATTGACTCCTCTTTTGCCACACCCTATTGGGCCCCTGGTGATGTATTTGCCAATCCTCTCTGCCCTCAGGCAGGAGCAGGTGCCCTGGCTCTGGAGTCAGGCCATCTGCCAAACATTTTCCGCCATCCCCCAAACATTTTCCGCCATCCCTGAACTTCCTATTCTTCCCAGAAACCTTGGCACAGGCAAAGGGCAGTCAGGGAGTGGCAGAGGCATGTGCCCAGTTGGGAGAACTTGGAATAGACTCCATGTGCAGCCTCTGAGCCAGCCTCTCTGCAGGGGAAGGAGCAGCAAGTTTGGTGAGTCAGCGTTATCATGGGCAGAGGGTGCAGGCCCTGGAGCAGCTTGGAGGAACCTGGCTTCTGAAGTGTCTCTCCTAGCTTAGAGAGTAGTGGCTTGGAACATTTGCCCTACTCCCTAACACAAAAGCCTTGTATTCCTGTGGGCACAAGCTATGCCCTGTACCCCTTTTCAGGCTTTTGAGAAAACACTTAGGAGTTATAGCAGTAGAAGCTTTTTATAGAGGTCATTAGTGATGATCTCAAAGGGCACCTGGAAAAGCTTTGGCATCATATCATCTCCCTCAATTCTCTTCTTCCTTCAGTCAGTCCATCTCTAATTCAAATCCTCTGACCAGGTTGCTGCCCCCAAATCCCCTTTTTATAACTCTGGAGACACTAGCCAGGTTAAAATCTTAAATCTTTCTTAATTGTCGCTACTTTGCCATTAGAAATGAGTTTTTTTTTTTCTATGAAAAGCTGAAGTCTTGCACAAGGAGTGAGAAAGAGTTTTAAACATAAGCATCCCAGGGGCTGGGGTTGTGGCTCAGTAGTAGAGTGCTTGCCTAACATGTGTGAGGCACTGGGTTTGATCCTCAGCACCACATAAAATATAAACAAATAAAATAAAATTATAAATAATTAAAATTTATAATTTTTATTTATAATTTTTAAATATTTTAAAAATAAGCATCCCAGAAAAGATTCAGTACTTCTCTAACCTAAGTGGAAGTACATTTAAATGTAGGTATTTAGGTTCTACATCCAATAGTTCTGATCCAGCAGATCTGAAGTGGGGTCCAGGAAAATGTATTTTAAATAAATAACTCTGGTTAGTCAAGATGCAGGGGTCTGTGAGTCAGAGGATTAAATCTTGAGACACATGAATTTAAATATACATCAAGGAAAAAATGTATATCAAGGAGTGAATGACTCACTTCCAGATTCCTTGAAATAGTCTGGGTTTCTGTAGTTGGGGAAAAAGAAGTATTCCAATATTCCAGGCACCCTCAAAAGAGAAAAAGCCTGGATACAAGTCTGTGCAGACATCTATCCACGTTTGAAAAGGAGTAAACCTTGTTATTATAAAAAAAAATACACCAAAAGGAAGTGAAATTATGTCATTATCTAATTGCTGCCCTTTATCTACTTGCCCCTCAGACCAGGGCACAGCTCAGCTTTCTGAGTTCATGTCTGACTAGACCCCAGAGCTTTTCCATTGCCAGCCATCTTGGTTTCTTGAGGTGCTTTGTATATGAAGGTGACACTAAAAGGTTAAGATTTTCTTTGAGAAATGGGCCCAGTATCTGATTCCTGGCAGAATATACTCTCTTCGTTCCAAAGATGTGTCCAAACTAGAGAAATATCACCTTTATTCATCCAAGTACACTTATCAATTTGGATGGGTTAGACTTTTCTTATTTGTCTTTAGGTCTTTCTTTAAAGGTGATGTTGTTGTTTGTTTGTTTTTTTTTAATCCAGTATTGGGGGAGTTGAACCCGAGACCTTGCACAGGCTGGGTAAGTGCTCTACTACTAAGATACTACAGTTCTTTAATTTTTTTTTTTTTAATTTGAACATAGTTTCACTAAGTTGCCAAGGCTGGCCTCAAACTTGTGATCCTCTTATCTCAGCCTCCCAAATTGCCGGGATTACAGGTGTGCATCACCTGACCAAGCCCATATGTAATTTTTTAAAAAATATTTTTTTAGTTATAGATGGACACATATATTTTATTTTATTTTTTATGTGGTGCTGAGGATCAAACTCAGTGCCTCATGCATGTGAGGCAAGCACTCAACCACTGACCCCAACCCCATATGTAATTCTTAACATATTTGATTCTTTAGATATTAAGATAAAAAATTAAGTTGTCAAATAGCATTTTTAACTTGATCATTCTGAAGCAGATTTCTACTTTAAATGTGGAGGACAGGGGGAACTAACTTTTTAAAAGTTCCTCTAGTCATACATTATATATACCTATGCATTTGCCAGGCCATTCATCCCCACACTTAAATCCTTCATTAACTCCTTGCACCTTGTGACTTTCTTGCATCTCACTCTATATTCGAAAAAACATCATTTACACCCCTCCTTCTTTACTTCCATCTTGACTTTCACAACCTTCTGGTCAAAGTGGATCAAGAAGACTCAGGATGTCATATCCACAAATGACCAAGATGCTATTGTTTTAGATGATTTCAGTAAAGTAACAAGAAATGCAGCACTTATAAAATGACAGACTTTGTTCTGAACACTCTGCAAATATTAAGTTATTTAATTTTCATAATTAGCCTATACGGTACTTAAGGTAGGTGCTATTATAAGTTACTATAAGCCCATTTTATAGATGAGGAAACTGAGGCACAGGTAAGTTATAGAACTCACATAAGGTCATATAGCTAGCAAGATTCCAACACTGACACTATGATCTTGGTCACTACTTATGTTGCCCATCAAAAAAGACAAAATGAGCTGGGGCTGTGGCCTCAATGGTAGAGCGCTTGCCTGGCACACGTTGAGGGCACTCAGCACCACACAAAAAATAAAATAAAGGTATTGTGTCCACCTACAACAAAAAAATACATATTAAAAAATAAAGTATTTTGCCCATTTTAATTGTTTTTTAAAAAAGAAGACAAAACAATACAAGCCAATGCAAATATTATTCTTCATCCAAAAAATCTATTTTCAAGGACATTTCAGAAAAGAAAACTGGAGATTGCAATCTAATTTGAGACCATACTCAATGTATCAATCCTCTCATGGTTCTTATATTGTCTGTATATGCCAAGAATTATCTAATTTAATCCTCACCCTATTGAAGGCTGATTTAACAGAGCCTTTGCTAAATATTTACACGCCAAAGAGAATCATCCCTCAAACATAATTTGTTCTCAGCATACTGTATCCAGTATCCCAGATAGAATAAGTGTATCTACTTTGAAGATAGGAGAAAACAGATCTACACTGAAACAGCCTTTCACTGCCATTTCTTAGGATCTGCTTAGATGAAAACCCACATTGCTGATTCTTGCCAGGATCTACTTATGCTTTGGGAAAAGTATTAACTAGAATTCCGGCCTGAATTTTAATTCTGGCTCTTCCACTAATCAGCTGTGCAATTCAGGACAGTTGATAATCTCTCCAAATCTGTTTTCTAGAGGTCCAAATGAATAGCTATAAAAGGAAATAAGCTATAAAGTACTGGAAAATTGTATGGTAGCATTACAGGTTTTTTTAAAAATAAATTGATGATTGTTACATTTATTTTAAATTTATTTTAAAGCAGCCTCCTCCCCTCCCCCTCCCAAGTAAAGTTCTCGAGGGTAGGGCCCATGTCTCATTCATCTTTGTTTCTTAAGATTGCTATGAATGGATAATTATGATTGCAATGAATTCCACTATTGTCATGTATGTAAGAAATAAAAATAAATGAATTTTAAAAAATTGCTTCTGGTATATAATAGATAAACAATGAACGTTTCCTGAGTGAAAGAAAAAGAGATTTTCCCAGAGTTTTGGAGGACCCTAACTCAGTTGAGAAGTGCTGAGGAAGGTTAAGCCATTCACAATACCTGCTTCAACTACGTGGTCCATTGTTGGAAACCTTTTGTACACAGCCGTGCTCACAGAGCGGAAGATGAGCAGGGATGTGAGATTTACATAACGCATCAGTGTCCTTCTGAGAAGGCGTCCATGCTGGTCACTTCCGTGGACACTGCTGGAGATGAGGAACATCAGCCTGTCAGGCCAGGGCAGATTCACAAACTGGTTCCACCATCGGTTCACTACTAGAGTAACATAAAACCCTGTAAAACAAGAGGAAATAATAAAGCAATTTCTTAGCAGCAGACATATTGGTGACACTGATGCTTTTACAGAATTTTAGCCTTTTTAGGGGTTGGGAATACAAAAATATGTAGTTATCTATACCTTAAGATTTTGACCTCCAGAAAAAGATGTCACTTGTGCCTGGTAATGTCAGGCACCCAGTAAGTGGGTATTAGAACTATAATACTGATCACAAAAATGGAGAGTTAGTGAAGAGAAGGCTTACAATAGCAAATTATTACCTCAAACTTGCTTGGTGTTAATTTAGCGAAAGCAGCCCTGAAGGCAAACTTTATGGATGATTCTGGTTCTAGTGCAAGCATTGGCTTTTCAGGCATGCCTCTCAGCTTGGAAACACTCTCATGCAGAGTCATCCGTGTCATCCTAATGGAGACAGTTGTGTGGCTGCATTCTGCGTGTGACCTATACTTACCAAGCACAAAGGTTACTGGAATTTGTTCAGCATATCTGTCACAGTAAATTGATAATTTTTCAAAGTAACGTTTTTGGGCTCCTGTAAGTAACAATCTGGAGCAAAAATAAAATGCACAGCCCTTTATGATATTATACTTCTGCACCTGCTTTGCAAGTGACATTAAGTGCAAACAATTAAGCACAAATATTCTCAGTTTTTTAAGGAGCAGTAACTTTTTCCTTTTCCTTAAGCTGATATGCTCAAAAGCTTTTTAATTGCTTAATGTTTCAAGTACTAAAGTTTTTAGTACATAAACATTTTTGGCCATTAAATTGTGGTATTTATTAACCATTTTATTTTTAAAATTTTATATTTTTAAAGTTTTATATAATTGGCTGACTCAATTTGGAGCAAGGTACATTATAAAATAGCCCATCTTTCAATTATTCATCAGGAATACTTAAAAAAGAGAATATTGATTAAATGGATTAGTTATTAAATCATTATTAAGTAATAACATTTGATATCTTGACCTTACTTTCTCCTGAATATGCTACTTAGCACATTTTGGATTATATATATTGTAATTCAAGGGATCTGAAATTTGTTTATTTTAAAGCCTACAATTATTTGAAATATAAACAAAACAGATTTAGCAATCAGAGGTGAAAACTTTTATTATTACATTTAGTCAATGTCTTAACCTTGCTATTAAGGATCTGACCCAACCTGGCCAAACTCATTTTCTGGTATTGTTAACATAATTGCATCTAATAAAACCATTATTAATATTTATGCTGCAGGGAGGGGATTCAGAGTCAGAAGAAATGTCCAAAGGTAGGTTAATAATCAAAATACAGAAAGAGAAGCCACACACATGGTGAATTTGCATAAATCAGTGAATGCAGCTGTTTCAAAGGACAAAGGACCCCCAGGAAAAATCTATTATAACAACCGTCAAAGTCCCCTTTGGGTGAGTAGAAAAGAAAGCAGAGGGGTTTTGAAGTAACAGTGAGAAACCAATCAGATTGCAGGTGGAACACTGACAGAAGCTGTTATTGATGAAGAAATGTTTGAGATGGGCTTGGAGTTCCTGTCCTGGCTTTAGAGGAGGTGACAGAATTACTAAAGTAAGGTGAAGCTGACAAGAGAGGCATTTACTGATTGGACAGGCCTATCAGAGTCTTACTGATGACAAGTCACAATCAGATGATTTTCCAATATGTAAGTAGAAGTGGTCAAAGAGTATTTAAATATGGAAAGTATGGATCTTAGAGTCAGACAAAACCCAGTTTTAATCCCAGGTCTGCCATTTATAGATTTGGACTTTGAACATGTTTTAAAGTTTTTGTAAGCCTCAGTTTTCTCATTTGTAAATGGGGATAATAATACTACATATCAGGGATGTCATAAGAATTAAAAAATATTATATAAATAAATAACTTTTTAACATATGGCTTCATACTTAAAATAATTTGTATTATAGCTAACTGGCCAAAGAAAAATATTTATTATAATAGTCATATAGAAAATTTAAATAGCTAGAAAGTACTATAGAGATTATTTTGCCAATTTCCTCAGACAATAGGAAGTGGTAAAATCAAATCAATGAATCCTGGTTCTTCCTTATAATTTTTGTCAAGTGTAACTATTTGCTTATAACAGGATTCATAAAAAACTGAAGTCATTAGTAGACATGAGAATGAAACTATGTTTACATTTTTCTACAGATATGTTTGATTTTCTTGACAAACTCATCCTATAGTTCTTGGTAAACTTTTGATTAAGATAAAACAATCTACTTTAACAAACTTTTACAGTTGAACTTTAAAAATGAAGGGTAATCATTGAACTAATGGTTAATAAATGTAACTGCTCTTTGGCCTTTGGAAAAATATATGCATACAATTTTGAGGGGAATAGGTATGCTATGGGGGAGAGGCTGAGGGCCCAAGGAACATTTCTGGTGACATTGCAACTGTTCTAAGGACTTTTCTATTCTAAGCAGCAGCAGCAGCAATAAACTCACATTAGTAAAAATAAACTAATGAGATAATTATCTTGGAACATCATTGTGTCTTCCACCATTTCATATTCTGAAGGCTTAAATGTCATAAATAAATTGTCAAAATAGTATCATGTAAAACATATCTGAAAAAATTATTAGGGGTTTTTAGTAAGACTTTCCCTCTAAAGATATTCTGCCAACATGTACATAAATATGTACACCTGCTTGGAATGGTAGTTTTGATACACAGCAAAATAGCTCTTCACATTTTACTTTTTATAATAGTCAACCAGATAAATTAATGTCCTCTTCTCCAAACGGAGTCTTATTGCTGTAAGGAAGAATGTAGATAAGAGCAATGATACACAAATTTGTCTATCTGTATGCAGAGGAAAAATAGACTGATGTATATGGAAAAGGTGGAAATACAGCCTCAAAAATCTTTAGCTTTCTCATTTCAAGTTTTAGCTTCCTCCAGAGAAGAAAGGTATACATTCAATTTTTAATTAAAAAAGACTCATAAAGCTTCCCCTTATCATTCTGATAAAATTTTATTAATGCTATAATTTTTAGTCATAAAAGCATTTCTTAGACATGACATTGTTTAAATTTTCTGTCAATATGACAGACATAGGTTGTGATGTTACAAAGAATAAATACCTCCTTTTGTGAACATAACATGCCCTGAAATCAGAAGGTATAAAGAAGATAAATTAGGGGAGGGGCTGTAGCTCACTGGCAGAGCACTTGCCTACCATAGTGTGAGGCACTGAGTTCAATCCTTATCACCACATAAAAAAATAAATAAAATAAAGGCATGATGTCCATCTACAACTACAATTTTTTTTAAAAGAAGATAAATTAGTGTTTAGGCCTTAATTCTTTAGTTGGGGCAGTGGTAAGATTGAAGGGCACGATCCTGGTTAAGATTTCATCTTTCCAGGCAAAAGGAAGGAAAGTTGCCTGATATGCACAATCACAGACATGTTAATTACATGTGGAACTGCAGCAAGCTGTCAAATCACACTGTCAAACTATGAATGACATCATTGAGAGAAGTATACATAATTATACCTCTGTGGACTTTGCCTATTCAAAATCATCACATAGTAAGGATCTAAGTATAAATCTTCCAGTTTATGTCTATAATAATATTCTTGAAGTGCAACTAATACCACATCACATCATGACCAATTAATGTCGGGCTGGAATGGGAGCCCCTTGACCCTGACAGGTACAGTTTGTTTAACATCCTAAAAAATGGTTAGGTATTGGATTAAAATACCCTTTCCTGCAGAGAAGACAACAAAGACGTTCATGCAAAGGAAGAGGTTACATAATGCAAAAGTCAGCAGCAATTAAAGGGTTTGGATTTTTGAGACTGTATTCTTACATAATATTTGATGGCCATAAGGAGACATGCAAGGCAAAGTACCTGTACACCAAACTTATTGCTGTGTAAAGAACAGCAAAAACAATAAATTCCCTGTATAGGAGTTTGTAGATGCTGCCTCTCCACTTGAGAAGTAACCTATGAAATCCAAAAAAGGTCGCATTTGCTACTCTACTGGAGTAAGTGACAGTCATCTTGGATAGTTTTTTTCTAGAAGAGCAAGAAGACAAAAGACAAGTGAAAAGTTAAGTTTAAGATTAGGCATAAATCTGTGTATCAAAGGAAACTCAAGCCAGTAGCCAGCCAGTTATATCCTTTTTTTTTCCCCCTCCACCTTTCTCAGTTTGTACAATTTGAAACTTGGGGATAAACAACAGCTCAGAGATAGGTCTTTTAGAGGAGAAGGGGAGGAAAGGAGTCTCTGGGAAGAATAGTGTTAAAAAATTTTTAAATTGCCTTTCTAAATATTATTTTCAGACTATATAGCTATTGCTCAATAAATATGGCATATGAGATATGTTGTAAAATTACCAACATAGTTTCCTAATCCATAGGAGGATTTAGGGTATTGATATGCTAAATTAACTGACATCTTCAAAACTCGTGGCAAAACTTATTGTTTGGGCTTTATCTGGTAAAGTATGTAAAGAGCTACTTATTTCACCTTAAACTTTGTACAGGGTTGTTATGGCTCTCTTAGAAATCAGGATATATTTTTGAAAAGAAGCAAGGCCCTCATGGGAACTTAATTGATGGGTCACTTTTGGTGGCTTTATTTGCAAGTCAGTATCTCTCTGGTGGTGTTTTCAGTGCATAGCACTCTGCTTACTTCAAAGGTAGCCCAAAGAATGCATTTTTGGGCTGAGGTTGTGGCTCAGCGGTAGAGCGCTCACCTTGCACACGTGAGGCACTCGATCCTCAGTACCACATAACGATAAAGTAAAGGTTATTGTGTCCACCTACAATTAAAAAACAAATTAAAAAAAAAAAGAGAATGCATTTTCCCCATGAAAATTCTCACAAAATGCTTAGGGATGGTTGAATTTCTGTTTGGAGCTGAAAAAAATGAGGCTATTATGGAATTCTTTCTACCTGGATCTGTTGCATGGATGTGGACTGGATGAAAATGGGGCTCCAAAGCCTAGTTTTCAGCGAGTTCTTTGGCATTCAATCACTTATCACTGTTAAATATTTAGGGTTTGAGATAGATGGTCAAAAGCTAATCTTTGAAAATCCTGCTCAACTACTGGCTAAATGGATACCCTGCAGATAAAATGAAATTTCTCTAAAATCTTGGCTTTCTTAGGAGAATCTATGAAGAGAGTGTTACAGAGCTTCTTACACTGACATCATAGAGCAATCAGGTAGAAGTATAGTAGACGCACACACACACATACACACACACAAATTCTGTAATAGTTTATCATATAAAGCAACTTGCATTGTATATTTCAACATAAACAAGGAAATTTTGTCTTTATCTTGACGTGGGAAAACAACTCTAATTCACCCATTTTCTCTATAAATGACACAGCACTTTAAAAAAATTACAAATATTTCCAACATTACTGATTTTAATAAAGAAACCAGGGTCTAAATATGTGGCATTATGAAAGGATAGGACTCATGCCACAAAACTGGTTTCATTTTTCCATCTCTGCCTTGTCTATTTGTATAAAGTGAACACAGCCAACATTGAGAAAGGAGCATAAAAAACATTAAGCTCATTTCATAATTTGTTCTCATAGCTATGGTAGTTTTAAATGTTTCTTTCATTTAATAGTTCAGCTTTCTATTTAGGCTCTAAGATCACACAGAGTAGAGATCAGAGTTAAAATGCATAGGTTGATCTGTGCACTAACCTATTTATTTGGAGTCTCCAACAGGAAAGAAAATCTTCAAATTTCAGGCTCCGCCTGAAGAGATGCCTTCAGGTTGGTGCTGCACTCTTGGTTTTACCCTTCGCTCATGGACAGTAAGATTTTCTTTCTGTTTTCTGGCTACTGAGAGGATCCAGAGTGTAACAAGCAGAAGGGTTAAATGTCTTTCCACTTGTGGAGGCCTGTTTATGCCAGTTTGCCCACTGATGACAGTGATAGCTGGAACAAACAGAAGTGACAGCTGCTGATGGTGCTTTTTTTCTATCTATAATTATAACTCCACCTGCCGCCCAAAATACTCCTTTGAATGAGAAGTCTGGGGTGATGTGAAGGATGTTGGGTTTTTTAAGTCTGTTAGATTCACTTCAACTCCATCCTGGGATCAAGGAAGAAAGGTTCATTTTCCCCCAAAGTGTTCTGAAGAGATTCTACCAACCAAAAGGGGAATTAGAACGGTCTTTTTGTACTTGAAATGAAGAATACATTCTTATGTAGCCATTAACTGGGGAAAACAAGAATATAAACAGGATTTTCATTAATTTGAGAGGTATTGAGAATGTTCCTCCATAAAAAGCAATAAGTATATGAGAGAAAGAGAAAGAGAGAGAGAGAGAGAGAGAGAGAGAGAATAAGAGAATGTGTCTGTGTCTTGAAAGACCATAGAGAATTATGATATGTGATGGCTTAGTGTAATGGAAACGAGTAACACACTGATTCATTATGCTTATTATCTTTCCATGGTTAGCCAGGAAAATTTTAAATTATTCAAAATGTTTTCTACTAGATTGATTATACATGCCTATCTTCCTTCTTTTCTTTTCTTTTTTTGGTACCAGAGATTGAACTCAGGGATGTTTAATCACTGAGCCATATCCCCAGCCCCTTTTTGTATTTTATTTAGAGTCAGAGTCTCACTGAGTTGCTTATTGCCTCGCTAAGTTGCTGAGGCTGGCTTTGAACTCTCAATCTTCCTGCCTCAGCCTCCCAAGCTACTGGGATTACAGGCCCAGCCTCTATTTTCCTTCTTAAAAGAGACAGTTCAGCAGCATTCTTTAAATAATAGATTAATTAATTTTAGGGCCAATTCCTGAGACCTTTTCAACTTTCTAAAGTAGTGTGTACCAATCATTGTACATAAGTGAAAAGAAAATGACTTTAAAATAACATCTATTGTCATGGAGAAAGATTTGGAATAAAATGTTGGTTTTAAAGTCAAGAATACATATAATTATTTTTCTATTACTAAGTTTTATATGCATTTGGCTGGTTTCTTTGTTAAACTGAAGTACATTAGATCAATGACAGAGTAGTAGGGGTCTGATTTCTTGCCCCATCTCTGTTTATGGTTTCAGTATGAGGCCTATAAATAATGGATATTCAATATGTATTTGCTATTTATCATCACATCCTCACTATATTCCTTCTGTTAGTACATTTGGGAGAATTTTTGAAAGTATATACACAGTGCTGCACATCCTCTATTTGGGTTGCCATGAAAAGTATGGATCTGGATGGATCTGATGTTACATTTACAAAGGCTTTTAAGACTGATCAATATTGGGGACTTTGAGCAAATGTAAGCTTCAGTGATTACAAAATAGCTGGAAGTATTTTGTAAAATTCCAATTCCAATGTTGGAAGTATTCTGTAAGATATTTCCTTCTCCTGCATTCCCTATTGGATGTGTGGTAGCCCCGAAACACCTCCTCTGTGGGGCGCCATAAGCCACTGTAGTCAATCTCATTTTTAAACGAACATAATTAGGTTCATTTCTACTATCAGGTTGTTTTTCTGGAATGACTAATTAATGGTTGAAAAGAGCATTCTGAATGCAAATTAGTCAATAATAATTAAACTGAATGGACAAACTCCCATTGTTTAGCTTTACTCTTGTGGCTATTTCTAACAGATATGGAATTATGCCATTTAAAAATTAACTCCTTAGAGGAGGCAAGCCACTATAGATCTTTTCAAAATATCTAACAACACATCAAATTGTAGTTTATCTTATGTAACTTTTGAAGAAAACTTTAAACTTTTTTATTTAAAATGAACTTTTCTTCAAGATTCTAAATGTAACCTCATTATAAAAAGTAAAAAGTAAAGAAACATATAAAAAAACAGAATGATACTCTCTCATGCCACTATAGAGGGGTGTTATCATTTTGCCTAAGGTTCATCCTTCTAGATTTTTGTGGAAAATATTTTATCTCTATAGTTAACAGCAAATGACATGATAAACCCTGAGGCAATCTCAAAGCTCTGTGGAATAACGATACCAAGATTTTCTCTTGACAGCAAGCATCAGGTTATGTGATCTCTTGGGTTTTTCTGTTTACTGACTGCCATGATGCGTATTTTTTTTAACAACCACATCACAAGCAGCTAGTTGGGATAAGTCATGTGGGACCCCAGGTGTATGGAGGTTTCTGATACATGTTGTTGGATATAGAATTCTGCCCCATATCAAACCAAACAGGATAGAACACCTCTGCAATTAATATTCTCTCTTTGATTTCAGGGGAGAAATAGCAAACCCCTAGGACTAGAGGAATTATTGAGTTTTATAGCTTCAGCTCTAAACCCATAAGAGACTGCATATTTGAGGAGTCATCATTGCTTTTCTTGCATAGAGTAACTGCCAACTCAACAAAACAGCAATGCATTAGTTCAAATTCTGAAGGTTATGTTTTTCTAATGGAAGCTATGGAAACTTTGTTCTATTTTAGTGATAAAAGCTTAGAGCCTAGAGAGTTATTACTAGCTGAAAGTGTATCCTGCACTCTATAATCAATGACATTTCTTAAATGGATGGTACTGCTTGGCTCAAATACATTCCAAATTGCTGAAGAAAAAATATTACAACATAGAACAGATTACATATAAATTCAAGTTCACAGAAGAAGCTTGTAAACTAAATACATTGTGTAAAATAGCTGTGAAATTCTACTTTGCCACCAACGGTAGATGGTGATAGAAATTATATCATTGTGTGGGTAAAGGGAAGACATAGGTACATAAAATTTTTATGCGTAAACATGGATGTCTTTACATGTTTTCTTATGCAGTGAAATGCATGTGAAAATGAAGAAAACACTTATTGACTCTAGTTCTCTAATATGATAGATTGAACATTCTTCAGACAACTTTTTAGGTTCATAACACATAATAGCTCCTTAAGAGTGATACTGATGGACAGAGCAGTGGGTTTGGAGTAAGGGAATGAAAGAGAAACTTCAGTTTTTGCTTCACATAATTTTATATTATTAAAATAATATATTTGCATATTTAATAATATGAAATAATTTTTTATT